GCATGATCATACGACGCGTATATACCTCCACGTTGTTATTCACCCATCTGTTCTTCGTGTTGAATTAAATTCTAACGTTTCTTAGCGTTGAATTAAGATTTAACGCTGAGTGATTATGTTTTAATCGCTAGCGAAATTGCACATGACCACATGGCATGTTGTTTAGCGTGGAATGCATGTGTAACCATGACATATATATATATATATATATATCTGCATGGTGTTACCATTTTCCGGTAGTGTAAAATTAAAATTTAACGGTAAGTGATTATGATTTTCTTGAATTAAGAAATATATAGAAGATTAAGTTGAGTATGTGTGTATATATATATATATCATGCATACATGATGCAACATGCATGTTATGTGGGTCATGGCATATAATTTGGGTTGTGGGACCCACTGAGCCACCAAGCTAATAGTATTGCATCATGTATGCATGATATATATAGATATATAAGCTGAGATTTAGATTTGGAATTTGTGATTGATTGATAATTAATTTAAATCTTACACGTATTTTCTTTGTTGTAAGCTGGATATACGGGTGGGCAATCGAACATACTCAAGCAACCATATAATATTGTTTCCTAAGATGATTTAACAATGATTACCGTAACACTAGGGTTGGTTTGGTGCTTCGAACTAGATTGAATATCTCGTAAAATTAAATGTATATCGGAGTATGAAAATGAAAGTAGAGACGAAGTTCTTTACCGGAGTACTGGAGGTGGGTGGGTGCTAGTTGAGTTCGTAGATCTATGGCTAAATGATGCTTTAAGATCATGAGGTGGTTTGGAGAAGTGATGTGCTTATATGTTGTGTCCGATAAAAGTAAGATGTTTTCATTTCTCACACGATTTTGAAAGTTTTCATTTCTCACACGATCTTGTGACACTAGATGTATTGTATACTACGAACTATCGGGCTCTTGCGGCATTATTGCAAACATTTGTGATTATTATTTTGTATTCAAATATTTTTTTTTATTTTGTAAAGTCGTTCACTTGATAATATTTCTCTTCTAGAAGTGCAAGGATAATTGGATAATGCTGTGCCAAGTCACTCCTTGTTCCTACCACAATATCATGAATATGTGAATTACTTGATTAATTTTTAATTTTGAATATAAGCAATACTAATATCAAATTTGGATGTAGAGGAGAGAAAACACACAACTCTAACTAATTTGGTTAAATTAGAAAAATATGAATAATAATAAGGGTTCATTTGGAAATGCTTTTAGAATGACGGAATGTATTTTTAGAAAGAAAAAAAAATTGTGTTAGAAAAACACTTGAAGTTGGTGCCGATAATTTGTTTATGTCTGAAATGTTACCACATGTAGCTTAAGAGGTGTGAAGTTTGATTCTAAAAAGTCTCAAAGTATTTGGGAATAGAATCATTTGTACATAAAATCATAGTTTGTTTTGTCATGTGGGATTTTCAACGCACACCCTTACGTGAGATCGTATTTTTAGTGGACCGCATGTGAAGAGAAGTTCCACATCAAGAAAAATAGAAAAGCACGTAAATTTAGTACTTGGCTTACAAACAAAGTATTCAGGCACAAACAAAACTTGCTTAGATATCGTGTTAAAGTTTCTAAGAGATGGGCCAAATGGTTCAACACCGATATTGTGCAAACCATGTGTAGCCACGAGAAGTGAGTTTTATTCGAAGAGATCACGGATAAGAATAAAAACTATTTGTATGTAAGTCGTAATTTATTCTGTCATATCTTCGATGTGAATTATCTAAAATTTGGGTAGGTTAATAAAAAAATTTCATCTTCAACTAAGGGAAATGTTATCCCCTTTATTGGTACCCATTCTAACATTTCTCTTCATTAAGACCACATGAAATGTTGATTACACAATTTTAGTGTTGAACTAAAATTATCGATATGTCTGAAATATTGATCAAATCTGTCGATTTTAATCGAAATTGAAGAATTTCTCCTATTTTCATATCTTTCTTTGATTTTTCATATATTTTTACGGATGTATTAACTGTATGAAAAAAATTTCAAACCCTAATAGACATAAAAGAACCAAAGAAAAAATCAGCAGAGAATCCAGACTATGAGATCCGCATTCAACAAATTGTATTAAAGTACCTTTTTTGTATGCAGCAGACGAGGGAAGGGCCGGCTCACCAAATGAACAGTAAAGCCAGAGCTGGTAGCATAAACAATATGATGCATTGGCATCCCAAGAATTTAGCCAAGTGGGGGATGAATTAAAAATTAATAAAAACGTAATGATTGATTGGCTGACAAACAATATCTAAATTAATTAGTGTATTATATATTAATAAAAACATAATGATTGATTGGCTGACAAAAAATATCTAAATTAATTAGTGTATTATATATATATAGATTATATAAAAGTGTAAACTAAAAGATTTATAATTCAAATGGAGCAAAAGACAAGTTGACGATGGCTTGGACATGGATTTATTGGCAAAGGCATTATTCCGTAGATACCGGATCCCAAGGACCAATTAGTCTTACTTTATAAACCTTGTAGACGAGAGGGAGGACCAAATGATGAAGGATATTTGGATGTAAAATGCCTTTGACAATTCAAGCCAAAAGCTAGCTTATGTTATGCATAATCCTTGACTGCTGAAAGTTGGGCGGCCACTTCTGTTAATATTCAATTATATTTAGACACTTATTTAATTTGTGTTTATAATTTTAATTATTTAAGTACGTGTTCTAATATTATTGGATATTAGTATGAGTGATTACTGAACTTTCAGCAGCCAAATATTGGATATTAGTATGAGTGATTACTGAACTTTCAGCAGCCAAGTAGTGCTCATATATTATAGCAAGATTTTGAACTCCTTGTCTCCAAGGGGTGGGAAACAAAATAATTCTAAAATTTGGGTCGAGAACTTCGGAAGGAATTTTGGGTTTGGGGGTGGGAATTTGATATTAGTATTCATCCTGAACGAATAAGATTGCAAGTGAACCGAGTAATCCATTCACAGAACTTTGCGTTACTGCAACTCAATTTGCCTTGGTTTGAATAAAAGTCACTCCTAGTCCCTTTTTGTTTTAATTTTATAACTAGAATGTTCCTAATTTTTTATTATTTTTATTTTTTATAATTAGAATTGTCAAAAGAGAGAGCAGGAGAGAGATAATTGCATGTTAGAGCATCTCTAACGGCTTCATTAACAGGTTATTCAGTAATTCTTTTTCTTAAAAAAAGAGACAACGTTATCCACCCCTTTTGGGAGACGAGAGGACTCACAGAGACATTTCAGCTTCCCTTTGCCCAAAAGTTTGGCTTCCACACTAATAGAGGGTTTCGAATTCAAAATCTCCACATTTACTACTGTGCCACTAGCTCGTGGTTGTTTTGCAATTTTACATGTTGAGAACTATTGATAATTTCAAATAGTAGTTCGTGCGATTAAAATTGAATTATGTTTTTTCTTAAATTATTTTAAAACAAATAACAATTTAGACTCGAGATTATGACTTTGAACTTCTTACTTATCTTCAGTTCCTTGAGGGGGCGTTTGTTGCGTCGGACTATCTCGGACTGGATTAGCTTCAAGGACTAAGCTGGACTGGCTTAGACTAGACTAAACTGGACTAACTTAGTGAAGCGTTTGGTGCAGTATTGGACTAAGAAGCTGGATAATAAAAAATTCTAATATTATATTATTTAATATATAAATTATTAATATTTTATTATGATCTTATCTTTTTCTTCATCTTTTCCTACCATTTCCGTCCCACTCTTTTCCTCTTCTCTCATCGTCCCACCCTCTCCCTCTTTTTTTCCTTTTAGACCTCTCAATTCATGTCTCTTTCTCATTCCTGGTCAAACTCGTTATTGATTCCAGTATCTATTTCTCTGTCTTCCCTCCCTCTCTAGCTATGTGTTGTTCGAATGAAACCTCACGGCTCCAATTTTCCCGACGAGTTGCAGGTTTCCCGATTTGTTTTCCAGCCAACACTCGTTATATTGGATGAAGTTAGCACCGCCAAAAAATTCATCACCATCCCTAGACCGAGATCTTAGCTTTGAATGCTCGAATCTGTCATGGATTTGAAGAAGCTCAAACATGCCGAGACTTCCAGGCCATTTTCCGGCCACATTCGACCACATTTTGGTCTCTATTCAGGTAAAATCGTAATCTTGTCACTCCCAGCTTCAATTTGGTATATTTTATATGAAAGTTGGTTGTGAAATGGATCTGAAAGGGAGTCGGAAAGTTAATGATTGATCTAGGTGACCGAAGATGACGAGGAGTCTGTCGGGAGTGGTCATTGAGCATGACGAGGACGAGGACGAGAAAGAGAGGATAGTCTTAGCTAGTCCCATGGTTATTGGGAGGTCTCGCTAAGACCTCTTAGTGAAGGGTTTTGTCCATGCTAGTCCCCTTTAGTCTCATTAATGTTAGTCCCAGCATGGAACAAACACAGTATTGGACTAATAGCTAGTCCAGTCCAGTCCAACTTAGTGAGGGAAAAGAAACGCCCCTGAGAGTTTATGGTGGGTGGAAAAATGTCTCATCAAATAATACAAACAATAAAATGATATTGGGCCCAACATTGGAGAAATTTTTTCAGCGTAACAAAAATACGCGCCCTGTGCATCAAATCTCATAATACAAGTAGTTAGAGTTTTTTTTTTTCAAGTATCCAACTACTTGTATCATAACATTTAGTGTACCGAGCAGTATTTTCGACATACTGAAAATCTCTCCACGGACTAGGAATACAATTCAACTCAAACTACTTAAAACCACAGCATTTATGGCTTTCAACTTGCTAATAGTAAATCGTAGTTTGTTAGAACCACAGCCTGATAGGGATATAGTCCATCAATCTCTGTTGGTTTTTGGAACCCCCAGAAGTTCCAGTTGTACCAACACTCCACAATTTTCGACCTCGGTTGTCAACGAAAACGGAAAGAAAGAAAAAAGACAGCAAGGTAGTGATCTTCGAGCAAAATATTGAGAACATGAGAGGATATAAACATATAGATTGAGCAAAGAAACATGACACAAAGTTGGTCTTGTATAACATTCTTGGCAGTTCTATCAAAATACGAAAAATGTTGGTACCTAAGACTCATCTCCTTGCTCAAGAAGGCTCTGTGTGTTGCAACCACTGCTGCCCCAAGCTCTCTCCTTCCATATCCTTTCCACTTCCTCAAATGTCAAGCCCTTTGTCTCCGGAAGGTACACGATCACAAAAATAAACGCAATGACGGCCACAACCGCAAGGATCAAGAAAGTTGCACCAGTTCCCACAGATTCAGCGACCGAAAGGAATGTTTGGGCTACAATCAAATTTGATATCCAATTAACAGTAGCTGACATGCCTCCACATATCCCTCTATATGCTTCAGGATATATCTCCGAGTTCACGGTCCATGGCACTGGTCCCATCCCCGGTGCAAAGAAACCAATGTATAGGGCTAAACCTATAACTGCTATATACCCATAGATTACACTTGTAGAACCAGATGACTGAAAGAAAAAAGCACCCGAGAGGATGACAAGTGATACAATAACACCACTTAAGCTTGAGAGGGCCAGCTTCTTCCGGCCAAAATGGTCAATAAGATAAATGCCAAGAACTGTTCCCGCAGCGTTCATGGCAGCCACAATAAGGGACAGTAAAATAGCTAATTGGTTGGATTGGATGCCAGCCATCTGGACGATTGTTGGGCTGTAGTACATGACCGTATTTATACCGGTGAATTGCTGAAATGCCTGAATAAGCACAAATTTGTAACCATATGAGATTATACACTTGGTCTTGATTTTGTTACATGAATTCGTGTGATGAAACAATGCCAAGGATTGATTACGACACAAAAGTATGCATAACATCAGAAGCAGTTATTTTCAAATTTAGGCAACTTAAATTTAAAACAATCCCAACTAGCTCATTCATGTCAAGGCGAAATTTAATTTTAAGCAGACTATCTTGTAAAACTGGCACATTGAAGTGGACAGAAAGAGATACCATCTCCAATAGGGAGACGGTCACCACCCCAAGCCCCACCACAAACAAATGATGCAGCTGCCACACAACCCTAGTGGAATATCAACACCCAACAATCCAACAAACCTACCAATGCTACTGTGGTTTGTCCACATCATGAACTTAAATGCAATGGATATCTGCCAACTTAAACTAGCAACATATAGTGAAAAATTAGTGTTCCACGGAACCCTAGAAACAAGAAGGATATCCTCGTTTGATAACGTGAAAGTATTTCAACTAAACACTTAGTCCTACCTGAAGTCCAGCACCAGCCAGAAACGCAAGTCTGATTTCTTTTGATCTGAAAACATTTAAGTAGCTAACACTCTTCTTCTTACGTTGTTCTTCCTCTGCTTGAGAAGAAAGGTAATCTATTTCGTCCTGTAGGCGCGCCACATCATATATTTTGGACATCACATCAATGGCTTTATCTTTATCATCCTGCAGATTAAGACCGAAATTTGTTATGCATGAAGAAACAAAAACATGGAGAAAGTAGAGCACAAAAATGCTTTTAGCTTTATAAATCCAAATTCCATCCTGCTTCCGGACAGCTTCACAACAAGCTGGCCTCATCATTTATGCGTTGTCATATTACTCTCCATAATTTTTTTTCACAAATTTTCCTTTACCAGGCTTTTTTCACAAATTTATTGTCCGTAGTCAACTATTCACTAATTTTTGTCTGTCAAAACTCAATGCCCTGTCAATTTAAGCTAGACTAGTGAAGACGTTGATCATATTCAAAAAAATTCATGGCTCAAAATTGTATGGAAAACTAATTCAAAACAGTAGCAAAAATCCTACTTTCTTCATCTTCCACTTTTTTTGATTTTAAATCTTTAATACTTTTAAGTTCTTAATGGGTGTTGTTGTTGGCACCCCAAAATAATCATCGTGCACTCCTCATAAGTGTATTTTTCTTTCTACGTATAGAAAGTTTGGAGTGCACAATGAGTTTTTTGGAGTGCCAATAATAGCACCCTTCTTAATTATATTCACGAGTTAATGTAACAAGTTGGGCACGATCAACAATTCTCCAGCTCGAGAAGGATTGTTCAATCATGAAGCGTGGTAATAGGATGCTAAGAAAAGTTGGTTTCCGAGTTTGTAATCGAATGGCATTTGGTGAAGATTTCGTGTTCTATAGCGATTAATGTACTGTGAATAAATATATATAGAAATAGGAATATCATTAATGTCTCTATACTCTCCCTAATCTTTTAATGAATGGAATGATAGTACCTTCAGAAAAAGCCATCGGGGAGACTCTGGCAGAAACAGCATAAGAGTGAACTGAATGACAGCTGGAACAGCTGATACTCCAAGCATCCATCGCCATGTCCCAGGGACCTGCATTTTGGCACAAACATGTTAAACAAAATATGAGAAGGTGCGAAATATCGTACCACAGAAGCTACACAAACTAAACTAACCCATGCACCAATGCCAAAAATACTAGGGTAAACAAATGAACTATGATAAGAAAATTTTATAAGGCAGTGATCAAACTCCCCAAGCACATGGCATAAACTAAATTAATGTCATTCAGCTTATCAACTAAAAATAAACTTTAAAAATTTCAGGGTTGTTCATACTTATGTTACTTTTACTCGTTCAGATATTGAACAGTTCATACAAATACCATAGGAAGGGAAGAAAAGTCAAGTAAATAATTTTCGTTCATGCAGAGAGTAGAATTTAATAAATTCTTTTTAAACCTTCAACACTCCACGAAGTATAGATCATTTTATTTTCTTTAAAAATGGCTTATTTTTTGAAGTAAAGAGATGAAAAGAACATTCCATCTTTTTCTTATTTCCAGACAAAGAAAATGGGTTGAACTACACTAGAGGAAAAAAAAAACTGTTGCTACTAACTATAAGTGAAGAAAAATAAACTGCTCAGACATGCAGTTCCTTGATCAGATACACTACACTAAGTACTAGCATGCTTTCGACAATGAGAGCACCATGCATTATCTAACTTAGGCAGGAAAGAACAGATGAGATTCCTTCAGTAAAGTTTCTCAGCCCCAAACGCTTATTCTGATGCTGCCCCTTCAAAACAGAAAAAGTGGAAACCTTTGATGCCAGCAACATAACGGTAATAAGATTTACATAACACAATTTCTCCTGCAATAACTTGTGTATTAAAGGCAAGTACAATTAACCCAAAAGCTTGTTATATGAGGTGACAAAAAAAAGCAGTTTGAAACTCTACTACGGTTAAGGGTTTAAAGAAAAATTATACAGAAAATGAATGATGGAAGAGATTCATACCCTCAACATCTCATGATATAAAATCAGATACTCTTTCAAGTACATCTTCACTGTCCTGTCAGTCAGTCATTTTAATAGGGACAAATCTCATTTCCATTTCAGATTCTACAAATGCAGGAGCCCACTTTGACCAAGTGACTGAGACCAACATACATAATCACCATCCATTTCAAACAATATATTCCAATTCCTCTAAAGTCAACTTCTTTACTTGTTTAGTTATTATTTTCGTCTCTTTTTTATGGGAAAAAAAGGTTCTTCAGTTGTCTATCCTCTTGCACAATTGGGCATGTTGACTAAAATATATGAAAATACCTTGAATAATAAATTTTATAATCTTCAAACATTGCCAGAAACATTTGCAACAACAATAACTGCAAGATAAAAAAAGTTGCTTTTCTAAATATGAGTGACGCAATCAGCCTCATCCCAGGTACTTAAATAATGAAGTGATAAAATAAAATGAAACAAAATGGCTCACTGAACACAGCCAGTTGGAACCACACCTCCCCACATGTTGTAACTGAAAACAGACACACTTCCCTGAAAAACTATTCGAAATAATACTGTGATAAAACATAAATGTTTAGCAAAAAATAAACAAGTGACTCAATAAGCAGAAAAGAAAGATGAAAGCACATGAATAAGTAAGATTAGTCTAACCTCTGTAAAACCAAGATTTATGAGGTAGGAAAGAAACTGGCCACCGGTTATCATAAGAACATTCGTGCTCACTAGTCCTCCCCTTATTTCTGATGGCGATGCTTCTGCAATATAAACAGGAGCAGTAACAGATGCCACACCAACACCGAGGCCAACCAGTAGTCGCCCCAGTATAAGAACATATGGATCTGGAGCAGCAGCCATGACAACAGCCCCAATAGCAAAGACAACATCAGCAAGAAGAGTAGCCTTCTTACGTCCATAAGAATCATTAATCCAACCCCCAGCAGCAGCTCCAATAATAGCACCAACCAAGGCCATGCTTACAATTGTTTCCTGTCAACTTAAAGAATCAGAGAGTTGCAAAACAGAAAATGCTCACATAAGCACACTTTTCTTTTGTTTGCTTATGTAAAGAAATTAACATTAAAAATCAGGTGGCAAGGGAGCCATTGCCTCTAAAAGAATTTCACCACAATCATGAATCATCCCAAAAATCCAGGTGGGAGACCCCACCATTAGAAATTTAGAATATGGTCATCAAGCTATTTCTCAATCTCCATTCTGATCCCTGCTCAACCATATAGGAAAAAGAAAAGGTTTTTCCCTTTCCAAAACTCTTTTTGCTGATGACAAAATCAAAATAATGCAATATCTCCACCCCAAGAGCTTTATCAGAACACTAAAGTTATTTGTACCTGAAGGAAACTACTGTCCTTGACAACCTCAAAATCGTCTTTGATATACAGAAGGGCCCCCGAAATCACACCTGAAACCAATATCCGCAAATATGGTGACAATTCAGAGGAAAAAGAAACTGGAAGCGAGACATGTATAATTTAGAAGTAAGCAGGACAGCCTCTAAACCTTGTCTATATTAGGATCAAACTTCTTATGATTCTGAAAGAAGGCAACATTCTTGCTCACAAGGGAAGGTGTGACATAAAATTTAAACCTTGATATTCCATATACAAATAATGGTTAATTATATTGTTCAGCCTCAAAATATGGGTGAGATTCCAATTTGGTCCTTGACTTGCAAAACGTTGCAATGTTATATCAATCATTCGAGAAACATAGCAAAATTAACACTCCATCAGGTCAACACTTTTCTCCCTACATATCACATTTATGTAGATGTGAATGCCAAACTGTGTGCCACGTGGACAAGTTGAAGATAAAAATACTTACGAGAAGTGAATACTCCTAAGCCAGTGTTTTGCCTTCCCTATTAAAAATTGTTGTATAAAGGGGTGTACAACGCTCCTCTCATAATAACTCTCAAAAATTATGCTCTTCCCCTGTGCCAATGCGATCAAACGATTCAAACCTAACTTTTTTTCTTTCTAACTTTTTCACTAATTACCGCACCTGCGGCGGAAAGCAATCATGCCTATCCACCCTTGTGCAGTTCGATCCCTACCGATTCTCCTCCCCATAACAACTAACTATCAAACCTGCTACCGCTATCACTCAAATACTTTTTCACTAATTAGACGTACAGTGTATACATACATATACAGGTGTGTGTGTGTATAAGGAATAATTAAAGGTAAGAATTGGGTGAAAAATAGTACCGGTGTCGTAGCCAAAGAGGAGCCCGCCAATCCCAGCCACCACAGTCAGACCCAGAATATATGGATTCTTGAAGTAAAACATTTTCCTCTCCGGATGCAAATCCAAGTAGCCGGAGCTCCCTGGCATCGACGAATCCAGCGTCATCTCCTTCCCTCTCTCTCTCCCTCACTGAGCTGCCAATGGCCACACCAAACCGCAGCCAAACGACGACACCTACGAATTCGAATGAGAAAATTCAAGCAAAAAAGATCAAGAATTTCCTTCCACTGTTAGGAAACAATTCCAGAATTCGATTCTCCAGTGCTGTAATGCAAAAGCTCGTGGCTAGATTTTCCCGAGAAAAAAGAGGGAAAGATTTTCCCGAGAAAATTTAGGCGGTGTGCTGTCGATGCCAAGTAAGAAAATTTAAAGACGGGATAACGCTGGCATTTTTGGAAACGGAAATTTCCGACGGCGGAGAAGTGTTCTATAATATCACCCGACTGTGCATCACGGACCAATAGGATAAGAGAGTTTATAGGAATAGCGGGAGGCATAAGCTGACGTATAATCGTGGATGATGCAGATTTAGCCAACAGGATCCTTTAGGTCAGAATTTTGGGAATCCAAAAATCGTGTATGTTCATCGTATATCGTGCGATTAATTTTTATCATATATTGTGTTTAATTTTAAATAAAAATATTTAAAATAATTTCTAACTACACGATGTATGATGAATGGACACAGTTCACAGCTTTTTAGAATCCTTGTAAAAGATCCGGCGAGGATCTGGATTTCAGATTTAGAAATTGCTCATGTGATGTAATATTCCGATATATAGTATAAAAACCCAATTGGAGAAAGATAATGCTATTTTTCTTGGTTTGGTGAATGGCATGGCCGCCCTTTTTGGTGTTTTAGACATTCATTTGGCAATTGTTGAAGATGCTCTTATCCGAATAACGTAGACATTGCTAGACGTTAGTCATTCTTGGAATACTCTCGAGGAAAGGTTTTTCAGTTTTTGGGAACACGGTCTAATAAGTGTAATAATTAATAAAAATTTAAAAATTCAACTAATTATATTATTATACTTGGCGTACTATATCATATTTGCAACACGTTGAAAAGTTTGTTCATTCTTGCGTGAACTGTACTCGCTCTTGGTTGAAAAGTTTATTCATTCTTGCGTGAACTGTACTCGCTCTTGGTCCCTATTTTAGGCCTTGAATTTAGTGTCTCAAGGGTGGCTTGGGAATTTCAATAAAAATTGTGAGCTATCTGGCCATCGGTTCTTTGGCCTTTTGCTACTGAAGACTGTGTGAGGGATAGTATGGTATTGCTGTGTTTTTTAAAAAAAATTGCTTTTGCAGTGTTGTAAAAATAATTAGCTGTAAAATAAAACAGTTAAATATTTGTAAACTTTTATTGTAAAAGTGCTTTTAAGAAATTTTTTTTTTTCAAGTGTTTGATAAACTTTATGTAAAACTGCTATAACTATATTAAATGATTAAAATGGTATAATATTAAATGTGATATAATAATTTGTTTTATTTTTTTATTTATAGTTTCATCTTCAATCTTCATCATTTTCGGGTCACAGCTCAAGATCCAAATCCCTCCCCTCCAACCCCCTGTTCTCTCCCCTTCCCAATCACCAAAATTGTCGACGGATTTTAGCACGAAGACGGAGAATTCTCATCTGGGTTCTTTTTCCTCTGTCTTATCTCAGTCGCTGGAGAAGAAATTGATGTTCGAATCCGCGTGCTCCGGGCTCGAGACGATGAATTCAACCTAGGTTTTCAGTTTTCACGAGTTGTCTCTCTGTGTCAGTGAATGGAGCTCTTTGAATTCGACCGTGTCAGTGAAATGGAGTTCTCTGAATTCAACCTTGGTAACCAACAATCATTCCTTCATCCCGTATATCTTCAGCTTGCATTAAGTGCCGGACTCGACCGCTGAGGGACCTCGTCCGCTCGAACAATCGGATTCAATGATCTGATACGATGAGGGAAGTGAGAAGGAGAAAGAGGGTATAATTGGGTTTAAGAAAGTTTCATTAAACTTTACTGTTCATCTGCCTACTTTGAAAAAGAAAAAGCTGGTTTTGAGAAGCAGCAAAATGCTGCTTCCATTTTTCTGCTTATTTTGGCTAGAACTTTGAAAAAAAGCACTTATTTTTATATTTATCAAACACATTTTCCACCCCCAACTCTTTTTCATAGCTACTTTTTTTTATAATTTCAACTTTGCCAAACTGGTACTGAAGGTGTGACTTCCTAGCAGCAAAATAACCTTCTTATTTGCATTTTTATCACTTTTTTTTCTTGTAAAAAATGCGTCTAAAGCAAGAATAGGCACAAGATCCACGTTGATGCTTCTTGCCGTCTTGCTTCGATATTAGCTTTCGATGCACTTCTTCTATGATAGGTTACCATCAACCGGGGAAGCAAAAGAATCGAGAAATTTTATTTGAACCCACATAACTTCTTTTCACACCCAATTTAAACTATAAATGGAAATTATATTTTTTACTCTATTGCATAATTACCATCAAGTAGAAGATGAAATTAACATTAAAACTAAAATTTATCAATAAACCCACCCTTAATAATCAAACCCTATCACCATTTTTACAAAACACTATCAATACTGACAGTAAACATAGACAAAAACACTAAAAATGACCTTCAAATGGTGGTCCATAAAGGATCTGAACTATTGAGCAAGTCGAACGTCGAGCTGATCGATTTCACGAGCCATGCAAATTTGATGTCCCAAAACCAGGCCACTATATAATATACTGGGAGATCAAAGGATAAGTTGAAGAGAGAGTTCTTAGTGAATGTTTTAGAGAAATGCATGCAACATTTTTGGATCATGGCTATGTGGTCTCGAGGAGAAGCAATTCGATCCGCCCTCTTGAGCTTCGAATTGTGGAGAAGGGAACTTTCAAGAAGATTTTGGAACAATTCAAGTGAAAAATTGATCAGGTTTTCAAATTATTAACATTCAATAAGCCAATAATATGTAGAACATTTTTATATGTACCCAAATTCAAGCTAGTTGGCTATAAGGGGATTTTTTTTTTTTTTTTTTTTTTCTGTTAGAGCCAATTTAATTTGAGATTTTATTTTATAAAGTAATAAATTTGGGGGTTTTTTTTTTTCCTGTTAGAGCCAATTTAATTTGAGATTTTATTTTATAAATGGGTGTAAAGATAATTTTACACTTTGAATTGGGTTTGGAAGGGTAGTTTAGGTAATAAATTTGGGTTTTTTTTTTTCCTGTTAGAGCCAATTTAATTTGAGATTTTATTTTATAAATGGGTGTAAAGATAATTTTACACTTTGAATTGGGTTTGGAAGGGTAGTTTAGGTAATAAATTTGGGTTTAAAGAGATATTAACTCTTTAATTGCAAATAATATGGGTGTAGAGAATAAGTTGGGTGTCACATCCCGGCCTGGGGCGGACCACTTCCCGGGCCCGATCCACCATCGTAACAAGATATTGTTCGCTTTGGGCCCCGACCACGCCCAACTCACGAGCAACTTCCCAGTGGGTCACCCATCATGAGATTGCTCTAGCCCCCTTCTCGCTTAACTTCGGAGTTCCTACGGAACCCGAAGCCAATGAGCTCCCAAAAGGCCTCGTGCTAGGTAGCGATGAGAATAAACATTTAAGGATCACTCCCTTGGGCGATGTGGGATGTTACAATCCACCCCGCTTAGGGGCCTGACGTCCTCGTCAGCACACACGCGGCTAGGGTTAGGCTTTGATACCAAATTGTCACATTCTCGCCCGGGGCAGACCACTTCCCGGGCCCGCTCCACCACCGTAACACGATATTGTTCGCTTTGGGCCCCGACCACGCCCTCACGATTTTGTTTTTGGGAACTCACGAGCAACTTCCCAGTGGGTCACCCATCATGGGATTGCTCTAGCCCCCTTCTTGCTTAACTTCGGAGTTCCTACAGAACTCGAAGCCAGTGAGCTCCCAAAAGGCCTCGTGCTAGGTAGGGATGGGAATAAACATTTAAGGATCACTCCCATGGACGATGTGGGATGTTACATTGGGTGTAGAAAGAGGTTACATTGGTTTAAATAAAATTTCTCGTATGTAATTTACCTTTAGTGTAATTACACATAATGTACTGCTTCGTATTCTGGCACACTGAAAACTCTTAGCCCAGAAAATTTAGATTTAAACCCAGAAACAGCTTTTCTGCTATAACTATTCTGGCCTAAATTTTTTAGTCCAAGGTTATTAAAGACTAAATTTAGGCTAATTTAAAGAAAAAAAAATTACATATACTATCTTAATTTAATTTTATACATTTAACCTAAAAATATTTAGATTCCATTAAATACTGAAAAATCACTAAATTTGAGTGAATTTTGAGTTAAATAAATTTTTTTTTTGCATTATTTTAGCCGTTGGATTTAAATTTGGGTCGTTAGATTTTTTTTATACCATTGAATTTGATCATATTAGATATCAGCCGTTGGATTCAATGAAATTATGAACATAAAACACAAAAAAACAAATATAAATCTGAATCGCTGATCCATTTGAATTTTTGTCGTTGGATTAAGCAAAAGAGCCGTTAGGCTCCATCTTCTTATAGACAAGTTGCCGACATAGGTGGGGTGCCAGATGGGTGGGGTTTGAACCTGCTAGGTGAGGCGCGTGCCGCGCGTCCTTGCCTAGTGGGTGAGCTACAATTTTCGTTTCTCACTCTCACATGTGGGATCCATCATTAATTTGGGATTAAATTTTGGGAGGAATTTGAGTTTTTTTATGAGTCCTAACTCTTAATCCCATTTTAGCAGAAGGATTGGAATGAATGGGGGGAATAAAAGGGACAATTTGACACTTACTCTAAGAGTTGAAGTTGGTCTTAGAGAACGGCCTCTCGCACATTGGCATGCCCTTATCATCTACAAGCTTCAAGTGACCCATATTAGTGGGTATTATAATAGAAGGGCAATTTAGACATTTTCCAATAAAAAGAATATTGATAAAGCAAACAATATTTTCTACACTAAGAGGAGGGAGATAACTAAGCCTCACAATAGGTTAGTAATAATGTAGTTCAAATTCATCTTTAGCAAGAATTGAACTAAGACATCTCACTTATAAATAAAGAGGAAAATCATTAAACCGTAGTACTAAATGATAAAACAAATCATTTTAACAATAGTATATTTTTATTTTTACTTTAGATAGCATGTTTTGATTGTAAATATCATTTTCTTTTCGGCAAAGTAAATTTTTTTTTTCTTGGGTTACAATCTTAAAGGAGGGAATCTTTTTTTTTGTTTTGTTTTTTTTTTTTTTCAAGTGACCTCTACTTTTATAATGAAGCATGATTTAAGTCGCTGTAATCTGAACACATTGAAAAAATCTCATCCAAATGGGCTATAAGCCTTTCCACTCGACAATATTATTGACTATGACGGTGAATTTTGGGTCTCTATCATATCACACATCAATATATCACGTGATGAGAAAAACGATAAATATATGTTTATAAATGTTTATTGATGAACTTTTAGTATTAAACTTAAACGTGAGTGACCATGCATTTTCGAACATTGTGAGTTATATGACGACGGTTTTGAGAAGCAAATTTTTTCTTATTTCCTAGTAGTTAGAGGGTGGTAAAAATAGGAACTCAACTATAGAAGTGGAACGGTAGAAATCTTATGAATTTATCATATTAGCTGTACACATTTCTAAAGAACAATTATGAAATTATTCAAATTGAAATCTTAGATCATCATATATTTATCGATGCAGTGCATTTGATTTCGTTAGACTTCAAACATTTGAAATAAAATTCGTATATAAGTTGAGTTGCCAACATGATGTTTAAACTCCTTGTGTTCATCTTTGACTATATGCAAATATATATTGATGCCACATTGCATCCAGTCATTTTCTTAAGAGGAATATTCAATTTAATGTCTTCAAGCATTTGCTGGTTGGAGAGTTGTACATGTCCCAAGTTTTCTTTTGCAACTATATCCCAAACATCGTGGCATTATCACATTGGGTTCTACAACATGGTTGCGATTTCATTGCAATGATGCAGTTCGCATATCAAATTTTTTCTGGCCTGCAACTGGTTATATATGTATATTTATGTCATCATGTGATGCATACCATGTTGTAGAACACACTGTGATAATGCCATGGTGGTAAGGGAAAAAGTTGGGAAGTGGAGTACAGTACTTTTGTCGTTTACGTGTCTGACGATAAAACCTGAGTATAAGAACATGTTCTGCTCTTTTTGGGTTCAAAATGAAGTTACTGTATGAAAATTGCATGTCTTATCCCATGACTTGCAATGGTTTCTGATGCCTAGCTATTTTGTTTATTTGGCAGTATTGAGATCTATAAGCACCATAAAGAAGAACGGATTGCTCGCACTTAGGGAACAACTGCCCCTGGTTTGCCTTATGTTGATCAAGCCATAACCAATGCTGGAAATTGGCTGATTGGAGGTGACCTAAAGGTTCTAAAACCTATAAAGTACAATGATGGCCTTGATAGCTTTCGATTGTCTCCTGCACAACTCCGTGAAGAATTCACAAAGCGTAATGATGAGGTTGTATTTGCGTTTCAGCTGCGAAATCCTGTCCACAATGGACATACTTTGCTGATGACTGATACCCGTCGTCGACTTCTTGAGATGGGCTACAAAAACCCCATTCTGTTGCTTCATTCATTGGGAAGCTATACAAAGGTAGATGACATTCCACTTAGTTGGCGAATGAAACAACATGAGAATGTATAGAAACTTTTTCTTTGCTGAAAGCCCTAGCTAAATTGTGTGTTGCTTGTCCTTAGCCAAATACTGATTCTGTTCGATATTGTTCTAATGTTTCCTTAGGTTCTTGAGGATGGTGTCCTTGATCCCGAGATGACTATTGTTTCCATATTTCCCTCTCCCATGCACTACGCTGGCCCAACTAAGGTGCAGTGGCATGCAAAGGCTAGGATCAATGCAGGGGCTGACTTTTACATTGTTGGTCAGGATCCTGCAGGTATGGGTCATCCAACTCAGAAGAAAGATCTGTCTGATACCGATTATGGAAAGAAAGTATTAAGCATGGCACCTGGACTAGAGCGACTTAACATCCTTCTTTTCAAGGTATGTAAATTATCTGGCAGTGATACTATTTGCCCTTCTTGTATGATATCTTCCGTCATCTAAGTTATTCCCTTGCAGGTTGCTGCTTATGATAAAACTCAAGGTAAGAGGCCTCAGGACTTCCTTTTTATATCTGGCACAAAGGTACGCGTTCTTTTGATGTTGTTTCCGACATGTTTTTCTCACTGTTCTAATTAGCAATTCAAAGTAGTATTTAAAGAAAAAAACATTGAGTTTACGTGCATAATCCAAGTTTAGTTTATCTGTAAGACATTGCAAATTACTATGATAGATGCGAACACTTGTAAGGAACAAAGAGAACCCTCCCGAAGGATTCATGTGCCCTAGTGGCTGGAAGGTGCTAGTCGACTACTATGATAGTTTGGCTCCGGCAGACAACGGTAAAGTCCCAGAAACAGTTCCAGCTTTGGTGGAGTTGATATATCATATTGCACTTGCACTGGTTGGGAGATAGCTAATCTATTCTTCTTTGTGTGATCAAGATTATCTGATTAATCTCATTCCTGTGATCAAGATTTCCTAAGATTCTTTCACCTTTTTCTCATAAAATCGTTTGAGGCACTGGTGCAGAGAAATGATACTCGCCTCAATTGTAATTAGCGCCGTGTGATTGCATCTTGCATCACTGCATTTGTGCGCGCCCGCGGCGCATTGCATCATATATGGTTTTCTTCTGTAGAACATTAGATTGTGCTATGCCCTTAATATGGCAAAATATTCCTATATGGTATGCACTGGTTATGATTTAAGATGCTGGATCCAAAAGAAAAGCATGATCAAATTCTCTAAATTTATTGTCTTGGTGCACATATTTAGTTTGGAACATTTTTAGATTTGACAACCAGCATCCAATTGCTCCATACTATTAGGTAGGGGTTTGAACTTGGGTTCAATATTGGGTACTCTGCCTTGGCCAACTACTCTAACCCGTGTTTGCTATCCCTCATTCGACATCTGAATGTGGGCTTATTGGGAGCTGGTACGAACTTGAAAACCCAACTTATGGCCCAAGATATGGCTGCACACCCAATGCACGCAACCAATTGTCCCCAACTTAATCGCTATGTATTCGCAAACCTGCCCAAAAGTTCCACCATAACCACCCCAAAACAATTCGTTCCTCTGACTTCCTCTGAAGACATTAATCCTCTCCAAATCCCTTGAGTTAGACTTCTTAAACACGGTGAAACACAAATATATTGAAGATCAATGTGCTGTACCTTCTAACACCAAATATTCGTCTATCCCTGAACTGCAAGAGCAAGAGCACAACTATCTGGAACAAAGCTTGGGGTAGAAGGTTCATCCATAGAATGTTGGTGATCACCGTTCGACACACGGACGAGCTCTCCATGAACTATTTGGCAGGCTTATCGGTGGCGAGACCTAGAGCAGCCATTGTGTCCATAATCAGATTCACCCACAGCAGCTGGACCGCTGTTAAATGTACTTCACCGGCCAAGGCGGCTGCACAAAGTTGATCGCAAGAGTTGCAACATTTATTCTATTGTGAGTTGGAATTGGACAAACTTTTGGATGTTGGCAGAAACTCCACTTCCCCATCTTCAAACAGTTACCAAAGTTGCAAAATTGTCATCTAAAATGACAATGTCTGAGATCTCCTTGGTAACTTCGGTGCCCTGAATCCCCATCGAGAGTCCTATGTCCGCTTCTTTGAGTGTGGGCGCATCAGTCATTCCATCACCTGTCACAACAACTACATAGCCTTTCTGTTTCAAGCCTTGCCCCATCAGAAGCCTATAAAATGGCTAAGACCTCACCATCACGTGAATTCCATCAACTTTCTGCATTCTTTACTCCAGTGTGTAGTTGTGAAATTCTACACCTTCTACCACCGCTTCCTTGGCTTCCTCCTGGTCAGGCCGGAGTATGCCACACTTGATAGCTATTGCTTTAGCAGTGAAAACATTATCGCCAGTGATTAATTCCACCTGCACCTCGGTAAACTGGCAAGCTTCTACTGCTTACCTCACTCCTGGCCTATATGGGTCCTTTAGACCTACCAATCCTAATAGGATCAAACTGCTTTCTTCGAGTTTTCCGTACTTCTTTTCGTCATTAATATGCTTATCCTGAACTTGTTTATGTGCCAAAGCAATGCATCGGAGACTGCTTGTTGCCATGGCTAATATGCTCAAACTTCAACCTTTCATCATCATTCAGATCTTTTGTGACACAGGCGATGGGTGCCCTGAATCCCCATCGCCGTTTTACTCGATATTCAGCGTTGCCATCTTTCTCCAAATCTTCGAGCCAATAGAAACCGCAAAGTCAACATGTACGTCTGTGGAATTACTGCCTGTGATCTCAGCCATCTCGGCCACGCTCCTGCCGCCGTCAATTTCGATGTCCTCGATCTTCAGGTTCGCACGTTCAATCTCATTATTTGCATGTTTAATTTAATAATTATGCAATTAATTGTGCTCTAGAGGGAAGAAATCAGATCCATGGTTGAAAAGAACGGCTCTGCAAAAGGAATTGTTTCAGCCAGTTCACATCGTTCTTAGATATCATTAACTACTCCTTGCAAAAGGTAAAACTGAGTAATATACAACAATTTTCTATTTGTGCATCAATAGATTACCGTTAATGCTATAAAGAGATAAACCGAGGATTCATATTGCAGGGTTTTCTTATTGAGCTCGAAAGCTGGAGGAGTTGCATCGCACGTAAGTAATGTCTTCTGTCAGTCTTTAAATTATGTTTTCCCAACTATACCAAAAAAAAAAAAAAAGAAAAAAATCTATGTTAAGATCTCTAATATTTTCTTCTCCATTGCAGAATTATGAGATTGGATTTGGAATTTAATTATTTCAATTTGTTTTTTCTGATTTATATTTCAAGGTCAGCCGCCAAACTGTGTCCCTTTTGATTGGTTTTTGTTACTGGATTATTCTTTTTGTTGTTTTGGATTTTAATTTAGAGCACTATCTAATCAAATGAAGGGTCAAGAGTTTCTGTTTGAATGATGGTCCTAGATCATTTCATTCATTCCAGAAGTGTTTCTGAATTTGAAGACTTAAAGTCCAGACTAACGAGTAGCATTGTCTTGGATTGCCGATCTTATATAGCATGATGATTTTAAGTTAGAACAAATGTGTTTTCGTGTACAGGACAAGGTGTGGATTAGATAGCACAAACTGGCTGGAAGACAAGATTCTGTGAAAGAAAGGGCAAGAAAATCTGATGAACTTTCTTTGTTGATCTGTGCATGTAAGAGCTCTTACTGATTCTTTTGTTTTCTTTTGTGCATGTAAGAGCTCTGTACGTAGAGTTCACAATACATGCATAGTTTTTCATCGTTCTAGAATTTTTACGTCCCTATAAATCCTTTCCTGCATTTATGAATTGTAAATAAATGCAAATCATACAAATAATCAGAGTGGATAAAGTTATTGGCTTATATGCACTAATGAAATATGGTAGTCTTTCATCTCCCCCCAACGATTTTATTAGTAATGATGTTGTTAAAGCAATTACATGCTCTATCAAGTATGTTTTATATATAGTTGTGGTAGTTGTAAGGGAATGAAATATTTATCCAGATAATTGGTAGTTTAAATACTTAACTTTTGAATCAAAGCCTATATATATGCCAATATGTTTTGTAAGTAGCATCAAATAATTAATTGCTTTTTTCTTGGTAAGTACCTAAATGTTTACACTTTCAGTTTAACAAAAAATGATATATTGAGACAAACTTAGCAAATTCATAAACTTATTTCGTGACTATCACGATATTGTTCAAATATTCTACTTTTGCTTGCAATTTTGTTCTCTCTAGGACATTAATGTGCATTTTTGGTTTTTAAGTTTCGCCGCTAAGTACCAATTGTTTGATTGTGATCTCTCTTTGAGATTGGATATATGATTTAAAAATTCTGTTAATAAATGTTAATTGTGATTCAATTTTTTTTTTCAATCATGTAGGGAGATGCAATCTAAGCTACTGTAAAAGACGTCGACAATGCTTTAGTTGATCAAAAAATAGAAACTGCATGTGTGTATTATGAGAGGAAATAGAGAGCAATATGTCTCAGTTTTGAAATGTACTGGAATCAAAGAAGCTAACTCAAGGTGCTAGCTTTGAATTTCCCCGAAATATCTTTTTTTTTGGATTAATTATTTGAGACATAGGAATTCTCCATGTTTTATCTGGAAGTTGAAAATTTAAATTTGGAACTTCTTCCATTTAGTTATTTGGGAGTTGAAAATTTAAATTTTGGACTTATTCCAAAAGGATTGTATAAACTAAGTCTAAATTATTCGAACTATCCTCCGCAACATTAAAAATATTAACTTTGGATAATGTTTGTATTCCTCCTTTTTGAGGAATGAGCGTATTTCACTTTTAGATAATATTATTTACCGTAAAAATTTATAATTCCCGTAATCGATTAGTTAACATGTTGGTTAACCGTATTCCGAAACACGGAAAAAAATCATTGGATCGTTTTATTTCTCAATCTTCATTTGAAAAACACTTACAACAAATCCATTTGAATAGGAGCTCGTTTAGTTATTTAAATGTATAAAATAAATGGATGGTTTATCGTGAATATGTTACTTAGTACATAAATAGTTAATTATTTCAATATATATGGATGACTAGACAATCTCTTATTTGAATAATTTTTTGTATAATTGATCTTCAAATAAAGACCAAGTAATTGAACAGTTCTAATATAAAAAATATGTTATTTGCATGTGGAATAATAAACTCATTCGAAAGGAGAAATGCGAGTATTATCCAAACTTTAAATGACAATTACAATTGGTCTAATGAGTTTTATTTTATTTTATTTTATTCAGTTTTGTTTTTATAAAATGAGCGTGCTTAATTGACATGAAATCGTGAAATGAATTTTGTTTCTCATTAGGTGCACACCTTCTAAAGAACAGACAACAGTGACAAGTTGTCACCATGTTTTTCAGTCACAAATGACATTACATCATTGGAACTAAGTTTTAATTATATTATAAACGAAATATATGTTGAACATACTTGCATCCTACAAATATATGTTGTACAACAAAGTATAAATTACAATACCATAGAATAATAAAAGAATTTAAAAAAATATTAAACAAAAAATTATGTAAAATTATGACTTACACGAACGAGCAGTGTTGTTTCTGAATTAGGTCTTCAATCCTTCAAACTAAAAATCACCTCAAATATAGTTCTTCTTCGACTTCTTCCACTTGAGATAGCTAAAAATAAGTGTCTCAGGAACAGGAATAAACTTGACAAGCCAACCAATTGGCCAAGATACTGCTGCAATACCAACACAAGCACCCCACTGCCCCCAATTCAACCTTTCTGTATCTGCAAACTTCTTCAAAAACTCCACCATCACCACCTGCAGCAAAATAGTGACACCAATAATCCCCACAAACAACTTGTTGGTGTGGATTCCTCTGAACACATTCTTCTTCTCAAGCTTCCTTGCATTGAACTCATTGAACACCTGGCACAGCACAAATGTGTTGAAGATCAGTGTGTCTTTCACCTTGTCATCCACGCCGAAGATCGATTTTCCTTTGAACTGCAATGTCAGGAGGATTGCAATCTGGTAGAGTGCTTGAGGCAGAAGGTTCCTCCACATTATGTTGGTGATCAGAGGCTCTGTCCTCCCGACCGGCCTTTTCTTCATGAGCTCTTTCGTTGGCTTCTCTGTGGCGAGAGCCAGAGCACCTAATGTGTCCATGATCAAATTCACCCACAGTAACTGAACAGCTGTTAACGGGACTTCACCGGCGGAAATTGCTGCCACAAAGTTGATCACCAGCGCTGCGACATTGACGGTGAGTTGGAATTGGATGAACTTCTGGATGTTTTCGTAAACACATCTTCCCCACCTTAAAACTGTGGCCACCGACGAAAAGTTGTCGTCCATAATCACGATATCTGAGCTCTCTTTCGCGACTTCTGTGCCTTGAATACCCATGGAAAGTCCGATGTCAGCTTCTTTCAATGCGGGCGCATCGTTCGTGCCATCCCCTGTCACTGCCACCACATGGCCTAGCTGTTTCAAGCACTGCACCATGAGAAGCTTGTCAAATGGGGAGGACCTTGCCATCACACAGATTTTGTCCACCTTCTCCATTCGTTCTTCAGGCGTGTAATTGCGAAATTGCACGCCTTCAATCACTGTGCCGCTGAAGAACATGTCCTGATCAGGCTTGAGTATCCCGCATTCTGTGGCTATTGCTTTAGCAGTGAACACATTGTCGCCTGTGATCATTTTAACATTCACCCCTGCACGTTGACAATCTTCAACAGCTTTCTTCACCCCTGGGCGGCATGGATCTTTTAACCCAACAAGGCCTAATAGTGTCAATCGATCTTCTTTTAATAAATTTTTATGTTCTTGATCATCCACTTGCTCTTTTACCTCAATTTCTTTGTGTGCAAAAGCAATGCATCTGAGGCTGCTCGCTGCCATACCTTGGATAATCTGCTCGAATTTCAATTTCGAGTTCTCATCCATATCTTTAAGAACTCCAGATGCATTGTAGTAACTTGTGCACATTGCTAATACCATCTCTGCAGCTCCTTTCCAATGTGCTTGCACAGAATCGTCCGCCTTCCGCTTCATCAAAATCCCACTTCGTTTCTTCTGCGAATTGAAGGCCTCGACATAGAGAGTGCTACAACTCTTCACCATTTTCTGCATATCCATCTTAGCCCCATGCACCGCCCACGAAAGAATCGCCTTCTCAGTAGGACTGCCCGAGATTTCAATTTCCGAACCCGAATTAGGCCTGAACACACTACCTGTTGTGTTTAGAGCAACCCCTTCATGAATCAAATTACGAACAAAAGGAGATATAGATGAATACGCCTCTTCTTCCACGGGTTCCTCGCCAAGCCAAAACTTGGTCACCTTCATTTCATTCATGGTGAGAGTGCCTGTTTTGTCGGTACAAATGACAGTGGCAGACCCCATCGTCTCACAAGCAGAGAGCTTCCTCACCATCGCCTTATCTGCCATCATTCTCTTCATCGAATAAGCAAGCGTCAAAGTCACAGCCAGAGGCAGGCCTTCCGGGATTGCCACCACAACAATTGTAACTGCAGCCGCCACAATCCCTACGACCGCGTTTAATACGTCGTCAACTTTAGTCTTGCTGCCATTATACTCCCGGTTTCCATTCTCGTCCTCTGTATTTCCAGTGAAATACCTAACCATCAAGACAATCAGGACTAAAAATGCAACTACCAAACCGACTTTACCAATTGATGATGTTAGCTTGTTAAGCCGAGCTTGCAGAGGCGTCTCTTCACCATTGTCGTGGCTGATTTGACTCATCATTTCGCCCCATGTTGTGTTCATCCCAACAGAGGTGACAAGCATCCGAGCGTAACCATCAGCCACTTTTGTGCCCGAAAATAAGAAAGGATTTTGGTGGTGACTAATTTCGACATGATCACTCTCCCCTGTCATGCTCGATTCGTCTACTTGTAACGAATAGCCGTCTAGAAACAATCCATCGGCCGGAACTTGGTCTCCAATCTTTAAACAAATGACATCACCAACTACTATTTCGAATATTGAAATCTGCTGGCGCCTGCCGCCTCTGACGGCTTCGATTTGGACATTGTCGCTCACTTTAGACAACTTATCAAACTGTCTGTTTTGTCTAAAATTACTCACAGCGGATACAGAAATTACCAGAATGATTGCGAGAAAAATGCTTCCGCCATCAATCCATCCTTCCTTTAGGCCGTGCACTTTGATTCCCAAGCCGAGAGAAAGCGCAGCACAGCCTAGGAGGATGAGAATTGTGAGGTCTTTGAAGGCCTCCAACACAAAGTGGAAGAACCCTTTTGTTGGTGGCTTCTTGTACGTGTTCGAGCCGAATGCCTTGAGTCTTTTCGCAATGTCGTCTGCTGGATCATCGCCGCCATGGACTCCGTGTTCTACGTCAGTTTTGAGAGCGGACGCAATTTCTTCAACCCCTCCCAGCTCCTGAAGCTGGTTGAGTTTTTTCTGCTTGACAAGGTTAGTGAGGGTAGTTTGATCAATTTGGAATAAGCTTTCTGATGGCTCAACAGTAATGGCGGCATAAGAAGGTGATCGAGATATTTTGGTGTTTTTGTATTTTGGTAGAGAAATGTTGAAGGCTCTGGAGCAGTAGATTTTGGCAAAAGCCGAACGCCAATTTCTTTGGTGTTTGCTAAGAGTGCTTTTCTGAACATCGAAAAGCAGCCTGATTTCAATGCAACCTAGTTTTGCATGCAGGGTGGTAGACATGCTTAACTGGAAAGTGCTTCAAAGTTTAGAGATATTAAGAGATGAAAAGACTGGTGAAGTGAAAATTGCTACAAATTTGGGGATTGTTATGGATGAAAAGAGTGCTTAATTGAAAAGTGCTGCGAAGTTTAGAGATTGTTAAGAATGCAGTATGCGGTATGCATGCATGGATTAGCTCTGTGTGTGTGTCAATGCATCATTCAGTACTTATAGCAGTCCTAATAACGGCTACTCGTTTCCTACAGAGGAGAATAAATGCTTTCCTTCCTCCTCTGTTACTTCGCAAACGTAAGCGTGTTACCAAGACACCTCGCATCTTTAACGACAACAATTTCTCAGGTGGGCCAAAAGTCAAGCTTAAATTAAATGCATTGCCAAACAAAAGCGATGAGTTTGCTTGGTAATGGATGCAAACTGAAGGCTCCCCGAACTCGCTGGACACGTAGGAAACAAACAAGAAGTAGGATCCAAAAGAAAATAAGAGCGAGGCTCCCCGAACCCGCTGGACACGTACGAATTAGCATAAGAAAGTAACTGTTGATGGGTCCCACTAAGAAACTTTTTATCTCTCCCTCGAGGAATTTTTCGGTGTACCCGGCACACCAAATTTTTTTGGTGTACCCTCACTCATAATGGTGAGGGTACACCAAAAAAATTTGGTGCACCCTCACTTTTTGTACATCAAAAAAATTCTAATGAGTGAGGGTACACCAAAAAAATTTGGTGTACCCGGTACACCTAAAAATTTTCGCTCTCCCTCACCCTTTCCCCTTCTGTTTCCGATTACTTGAGTGCATCTTTTCCTCAGTCAGCTGCATCGGACAGCACTTCCACCATGAACGAGCTCCCTATTTTCCTGAAATCTCCAATCCT